CTCTACAACGTGGAACACGTGTTTGGGTTCCGAAGAAAATAAAATGCAAAGACTAAGCCAGTTCAGGCACTAACCTACCACCCATCTCAATGAATGAGTGCAGCCTGGGGACAACGTGGGACACGAGTGAAGAAAATGGATCTAAGACGGTTCAGGTTAGGCCCATTTAAGGCTCTTCCTACGCTGGCCTGGCACCTGAGCTCACAGGGAGGAAGGCCTGAGGGCCACATAAATCACCTGTCCTGCCCTCTCCAAGGCAGGTTGGGTTTTTGAGGCCCCTCCTCCACAGGAAACAAGGAGAACCTTCCCCTTTCTCCTCCCTCTTAAAAAGCCAGGCAGATTCCAAGGGGACCAAAACCTCAAAGTGTCATCATTTGCTTCCAAGTATAGAAGTTACATCTTGACTTAGTGGTGCAGGTCAGGAGGCTTAAGTCTCTCATCCTACATTCTGAAATGGATTTTTAATCCCCTAGCATCAAATATCTCAAGACTGATGAGGGAGCAGAAGGCAAGCTGAGGACAAAGCACAAGCGGACACCCCACAAACCAGCCCCCTCCCCCCTGGTGGGATGGTGTGACATTCCTCAGTCACTCCAGGCTGCCCTAAAGCTAAGAGAAGGGAAAAACAAACAGCTGACTGACAGAGATCACAGTCCTGCAGGACAGGAGTCTCCATCAGTTTACAAATGTCTTAGTGATTTACAAGGAAAAAGCATTCTAACCAATAGCCTAACTTTCAGAAACCCACAGACTCAATTTCCTGGAGCCCTAACAGCACCCTCTCCCCCACAGTGATGTGGGAAACAAAGGTAGAAGGGAATACAAATAAAATAAAATTTCCATATAACCTGCAGCCCACTGACAAATACTTGAGGCAGGCAGAGTATAATGTTCCTCCAGGACACTCCCAACTGTCTGAACACCTTACTAGGAGGAAAAACAACACCTTAACTTGACACTAGCCAGGCCTCCAGCATCCCGAGAGTCTTCTTTAGCATATGAAAGTCCTTTTGGAGACCTCCCTTTGTCCTTACCTCCCCCAACTCCCAAATATATAATCAGCCACCCCTCACAACCACAGGGCAGCAGCTCTTTCTGCCCACGGGTCCTGTCCCCGTGCTTTAATAAAATCACCTTTTTGCACCAAAGATGTCTCAAGAATTCTTTCTCGGCCTTCAGCTCAGGACCTCACCAACATTCCAAAACCACATCTAAACTATACCTGCTTGGGGAGCCTGGGTGGCTCAGTAGGTTACGCCTCCAACTCTTGACGGGCTCAGGTCATGATCTTGGGGTAATGAGATCGAGCCCAGCATTAGGCTCTGCGCTCAGCGGGGAATCTGCTGGGGATTTTTTTCTCTCCCTCTCCTCTCTCTCTCAAATAAATATATCAATCTTATTTTTTTAAAAGATTTTATTTATTTATTTGACAGAGAAAGACACAGCGAAAGAGGGAACACAAGCAGGGGGACTGCGAGAGGGAGAAGCGGACTTCCCGCCGAGCAAGGAGCCTGAATGCGGGTCTCGATCCCAGGACCCTGGGATCATGACCTGAGCCAAAGGCAGACGCTTAATGACTGAGCCGCCCAGGCGCCCCAATAAATAAATCTTAAAAAAAAAAAAAAGACTATACCTGCTTGAATTACAGGATTAATGACATGAATGACCTTCAGTAAAACGGCTCCTACATTTTGGGAGGGGAAACCTGCCCCAGGAGAACTCAGAAATCACGCCCTGCATCACCAGCACTTGGTAGAGTTTGCTCTGAGCCAAAGTTCTCATGGGAAAGAAGAGTTTTCCTAGTGAAAGGAGGGAGGATGAACTTTGGCTGGGCAGCTCCTTGCAGCTCCCTCCTGCTCAAATTTAAACTTGGGCCACATTTTGAAACCAAGCCCAAAAAAGAAAAGAAAAGAAAAAAAAAAAAACACCAACTAAAAAGGAGGGCTGCCCTCGTGTTCTGAACCCACGCACCAAAGGCCCGTGTGGCTCTGGACAGAGTCCCGTCCTCTGCAGACAAAGGTGAGAATGCTGGGTAGGAGGCCATGACACACTCCCATCCGGGCAGTTACAAGCAAAGCATACACGCTCTCTCCTTTTCCCAGCGCATCCTCAAACATTTCCACAGTCCCAACAAAGCGGGGGCGAGGACTGCCACAGAAGCCCAGTGGGTGTCCCCACAAGGGGACCTTTCAACACCCGCCCTCAAGCATTGCCTGAGGATGAGGTCAGCCTCCATTCTACAGGCTGCAAACAAGCTGACTTTGTGACCAGTGGGCCTGCCCTCTATGAGGCCCTAAAAATGGAAAAGGATTGGTTTTCCCCACAGAGACCTCATTCCCTATGCAGAAAGGCCAGCCAAACCATTTTTAAATAAGTATATTCAGGAGACAGGCATAGAAACACTCACAAGAGCCAATGTGAGGAGTCAGGGTTGCCCCTACCCCCCCATCCTGCCTGACCCCAAATCACACTGTACACACACACACCACTGCTGGGCTCACCTCCCTAAATATGTCTGTTTCTATAAGGGCACGTTCCCACTCAAGAATCGATAACGGCTTCCAACTGGCCACCAAACCACGGTCAAAGGCCTAACCTTGGCCCTAAAATCCCTGCAAGGCCGTTTTACCTACCCATGTCTCATCTCTTTGCCCTCCTGTCCACCTACAGAGCCTAGGCGTGAAGAACACATTCAGCCTGGGTTCAAATCCCAACTGTACCACTTAGGGCTGGAGCCCTCGGGCAAGGTACTGAAATGATTCAGTGCCTCAGCACCTACTGCTCAGCTGAGTGCAGTAGTGAGGAACCAAGAGGATTCAGGTAAAATGCTCAGAATAAAGCCTGGCACCTGGTATCACCCAATACATATTAGCAATTAAAACAGTCATTATCATTACCCAAGTCACTTCCATGAAACCTCCCTTAGTGATACCACTCAGCATTCAACATCTTCTGTTTCTTAAACGTTCTACAAAGACTTGGAAATCATAGACACTGGCTGAAGTCGTAAAGGAGTGTTTCATAGGGGCAGGTTACTTGGATGGCCATCAAATGTTAAAATTATTTTTATTATTAAAGTCATATCCTAAAATGTATACCTGTGGCTCCCAAAGGAACCCCGCCCTCGAGTAACCATGTTTCAGATGGGTTCACCACTATATGTTTGTAGAGTCTCGGGTTTTGTTTCTTGGATCCGAAGCTTAATTCTACGGAGACTGAAAATTTCTGAAGGGCCGGAATTGCAGCAGAGACATCTGATACCCGCTCAGAATTCCTGCCACAACCACTGTGGACCCTCAAACCAACGCCTGCTACATTTAGATAGAGAACATGAAGTTACCTGAAAAACAAAGGTGATAAATGGGAGATCAAATGCCCTTTCAGTATTTCTCCTCTCAAACTTCCTGCATACAAACATACAAGATCCAACCACAGTATGACGAAGAGAATTGGTGCTAACTACCACCAACGTAGAGCGAAGCCTGGTGTGGTCTAACGAGGCAGCCTTAGCTCTGGGTCTCCCTGCCCTCAAGTTTCCAAAGCACTTCATGCCTCCCCTCATACGGCACTTACTAATTTCTACCTTGTTTATGCCTCAGAAGACTTTACACCCTGTCTTGCGCAAGAGAAGCTCCATCTCTCCCAAGCGTGAATGTCCCAGAGCCCCCGCTGCAGTGCCTTACTGAGGAGAGAGCCAACGTTTAAAGCAGTCAGCGGAGAATCCCAATTTCACAAGCTTCCACAGTGGCTCCACTCTATTCCAGGCCGTACAGCCACAGTGATCGAAGCATTACCTAACAGAACTCTTGGAAGGACCCAATGGATAAGAATGTACCAAGTGCTTTTAAGGAAATGGTTGTTTTGAAGCACTTGAGAGTATATTTAAGACAGTCTGTACTATCAGCCTAAGGTTGGGGAGAACAGACTCTCGCTCGGGAGTTGCTCCTGGTGATGTCACCTCCAGTGTGGAGGGGGACCACTGGAGCGCGACCCCTGGCCTCCTCCCCATCCTCATTCTGCTGGGCCCCAGGAAAACAGGCTTGGATAGCCAGGCTTTCCTTGGACCAGAGCTGCAACACGCTTGCTGCTCTTCCTAGTAAACTGTATACCTCTGTAGGCGAAGTCTGGTCCAGTCCAGTGAGACTGGTAATGGGTGGGGTCCCCCCGTGAAAAAGCCTAACTCGCTCTGGGGTTCAGTAGTAGGAAGCCCCCTTCAATTGCAGATCTAAGCCACACTGTCTCACATCAGCTTTACGAGGGATTAAGGTGATGTCTGGCATCTGTCTGCTGACCCTGTAGTCTCTTTTTGTCAATTTGTTTAGAACCTAGGAAGAGAAATGTTATTTATTGGGCTCCCTCAAAACCCCTAACATGTCCCCCTGTCATCTGGCTGATTAAAAGGCCTTCCATGGGGAAAGTCCATGAAAAGGGCCTACGTGTCTTCATCAGCATCACATTACCAGGCCCGCCGCAGCATGATACACTGCCCAAGAAATGGCCAGAAATCCATCCCGCACCCTTGGAGACACCCAACCCACAAACGATACATCAGCAAAGTAAAAATCGCCCTACGGCCCACTCCTCATTATCTGTGGGATTTTCTAAGCTTTATCCTGCTTCCCACGTAGGCCAAGTTGCGTTTACAACAGCTGCTACTTGAGACCCTGGCGGCCATCCTGACGACAAGGGAAAAGTACGAAGTCGGCAAGGAAAGACCGTACATCCGAGGGGGGACAGCTATAAACAAGGCTACACCCGACCAAGACACACGACCACACCCGAAGCGTCGGATCGTACCTGGACTACTGCTAAAGTGCAAGCCGCTGAGGGGCTCCCCCACTTGGCAGGAAAGCACCGAGAAGGTTTCCGGAAGGTTCAGAGAACACGAGTAGAGCCCAAACCACACCAGGGTGGCTGGGCCCCCTCGTCCGCACTGAAAGCTTCCCCCACGCCCTCCTCAACCGTGGGAAACGGGAAGGGCTGGACGGAGGCTGACTTACACGCTCTTTCATCTCGTTAGCCACGGTCCTGGACATCATGACGCAGCAGAGCAGCACGACGAGGATGAAGTAGAGCGCGTACATGAAGCGCGTGCTCCGGGACTGTCGGATCCTGGGGCAGCAGCCGCAGCACAGGGAGCAGCCGGCAGAGCCGCAGCAGCAGGCCAGCTAGGGAGCGGACACAAAACAGCCTCTCAGAGCCACGGCCCCACAGACCCCCCGACGACAGTCCCCTGCAGGTCCGCCCTCCAGGCCACCGCTGCCCGGGGCCAGCCTGCCCACGGGACCGCGGTGGTCTGATGGTGTCTTTGGCGGAAGGCAGGCATGTGGCTCGGGAGATGGCCGGCCATTACACTCAACACTCACGGTTCCCCTGAAACCCTGTCGTCAGTGCTCCGAGGGAAAACGAAGATTTCGGAGATCAGCTGAGGGGTAAGAGAAGAAGCCAAGAAGGAGAAAAGGGACAAAGTGGGGTGGGAAGAACGTGGGGAAAAAAAAACCCAAGAAGCTGGGCCCAAGAAAGGGACTTGGCAAAAACCTGTGAGGCAAAGAATGAACTGTATAAACTCCCCGGGACGGCTGGATGGGAAAGGCTACGTGGGCGGGTAGGCAGCCTCCTTCGCAGGCAATAACGGGAGTGCGTAACTTGAAGCTCCGAAGCCACAGGTGCCCCTTACACAGCTCCGTGCCCCTGACGGTAAGCTGTTAGGCTAACGAGCAGGCCCGGGCGCCGAGGAGCACAGAGATCCTGCTGTACCCCTAGCAACACGCACCTTTTAGGCGGGGAAACGGATTTCCCCCCTCCCACCTTTGATGGGGCTTCATTGGTCAATGCAACTAGACATAATCTGGGAATATTAAATAAAACAGGGATTAAATTTTCAAGTTTGAGATTGGTGTTAACTTTTTTTCTTTTTAAAGACTCTCTTTTTTAGACCACTCTGAGGTTTACAATAAAATTGAGAAGACACAGAGATTTGCCATATACCCCTCCTCCCACACATGCAAAGCCTCCCCCATTAGCAATACCACTCACCAAAATGGTACGTTTTTTACCAAGGATAAACCTACGCTTGCATTTCATCATCATCACCCAAAGTCTACAGGTTACCTAAGGGTTCACTCTTGGTGTATGTTCAGTGGGTTTGGATAAATGTATAATGACTCATACCCATCATTATAACATCATACACAGTATTTTCACTGTGCTAAAAAGAAACTCGATCTTTAGGAAAGCATAGGGCGATGGGGGCAGTGTTGTTTTAAAAGTTCAGGCTCGGGGCACCTGGGTGGCTCAGATGGCTCAGACCTGCCTTCGGCTCAGGTCACGATCCCAGGGTCCTGGGATCGAGCCCCGCATCAGGCTCCCTGCTTGGCGGGGAGCCAGCTTCTCCCTCACCGTCCTACTGTTTCCCCAGCTTGTGCTCTCTTGCTCTGTCAAATAAATAAATAAAATCTTAAAAAAATAAATAAATAAATAAATAAATAATAAAAGTTCAGGCTCAAGGGGTGCCTCAGTGGCTCAGTCGGTTAAGCCTCCGCCTCTTAGTTTCAGCTCAGGTCAGGGTCTCCAGTCGTGAGATCAAGCCCAGCGTTGGTCTCTGTGCTTAGCGCGGAGCCTGCTTGAGATTCTCTCTCCCTCTGCCTCTCTGGCCCCTTTCTCCCTCTCTTTCTCTAATAAATAAATAAATGTGTTTGTTTGTTTGTTTTTAAAAAAAGAAGGTTCAGGCTCAAAATCAGCCTGCCAGAGTTTGGAACCTGGCTCCTCTGTCTACTAGCTGTGTACCATTGAGTACAAGGTATTTACCCTTTTAAGACTCAGTTTCCTCATTTATAAAACTGGGGTAGTAACAGTATTTATGCTTGTGCTATGGTCTCATAGGTGACTTGATCTAACACACCTGGTGTTAGGAAGGGATTCTCTTAAGCCAACAGGAAATTTTACAAAAGAAATTACCATAACCTGCAAATAACAACTAAACCTTACAGATATTAACACTACAATCAGGGCGCCTCGGTGGCTCAGTCGGTTGAGCGTCTGCCTTCGGCTCAGGTCATGATCCCAGGGTCCCGGGATTGAGCCCCACATCGGGCTCCCTGCTCAGCGGGGAGCCTGCTTCTCCCTCTGCCCCTCCCCCTGCTCATGCTGTCTCTCACATGCTCGCTCGGTCTCAGATAAATAAATAAAAACCTTAAAAAAAAAAAAACTACAGTCAATTTAACGTCTAAAACCTAAAAACTCAATGTCTTGGTGATGATTTGGAAGGAAGTTCGTGGCGTCTCATGGTTTGAACACAAGCATCAATTCGAATGCCACACTGTAAACACCACTTACAATGAGAAGAGGTCACACGTATACAGGTGTAACAAGCTGTAATCATAACCATGTTTTCACATCTTCCTTCGTTTACTTCGGGAAACCGTCATTATAGCATCACACGAAGCTTCAAGCTTATGCATTCCCTTAGTCTGTAGGCAAACTAACCTACTTTCCTTGAGAACTGCAGACCACCGGCCTTAAGGAGTAAAGGACCAGACTTCCCCAGAGGAGAAGTCCTGACCACATTGGAACACAGCTGCTGCTGCTGCCAGCAAGTCTATTCAGGATCATGTCTACGACTATCCACCTGGGCACCACCTTCTCCTGCAGGTAGCCCACCCCCAGCCTCCAATGTCCCACACCTTCCTCTTTAAACCCTCTGGCTTCACCTAGACAGGGAAGACGGTCTTTGGGACATTAGTCCACCATCTTCCCAGGCTGCCAGCTTCCTGAATAAAGCAACCTTTCATTTCCCACCATAACTTGTCTCCCAAGTACTGATTTTTGAAGCAGCTGAGCCTGAGTTCAGCACTGGTTCTCTGCCCAGTAACACCATTCACTGTTTGAGTACTTTGCATACTATTTCATCACTTATTTGCTAATGCACTCTTTCCATCTTATGTTCAGTTTTCCAAACCGTCTTCCTCAAAAGACTCTTCTGGCCTCATAAGGGTCGGCCACTGCCTTGTAAGATAAGTCACTCTGCTTGGGCTGGGCTAACAGCTCACACAAGAGAGATCCCAACACTGCTGCATGTGGGTGGTTCTGATAGGTTACCTTCCTTTATAATTCACTCACATCCTCTATCCCTGACTTTACTGACCTCTTTCTAGCCTTAGGCCCAAATTTCCCCCTCTCCCCCACCTTCTTTCCTGCTCTCTCCTTCCACTGACATAGCACTCTTTTCTCTTGGCCCTCGCCTTCCTCCTCCTCACCTCCCAAATTCTTTCCCAACTGTCTCCTTTGTTGGCTGCTAACTTTTTTTTTTTTAAAGATTTTATTTATTTATTTGAGAGAGAGAATGAGAGAGAGAGCACATGAGAGGGGGGAGGGCCAGAGGGAGAAGCAGACTC